TAAAGAAAATTTTACACAAGAAAATGTTTTAGCCATTTTTTGTACGTCATTTATATGAAGATTTTGCTTTTCTCGAGAACTGCATACTGACCTTAAACGGCGAAGTAGATTTCTATTTGACGAACTGTTTTACTCGACACGGGTGCTTCAAAGCGTACCTTCAACGCGTGCTTCAAACACGAACCGGAACCCATGTTCGACTACTGCGGAGGAGATGTAATAGAATACGTATTTTTTGAGTGTTTGCGATGTGACAGTACGAGATGTGAACTTCGCAGCATATCTGGCGAGAGTTTTACGCCTGAGTCACTCATGGAGGCTATGCTACAAGGCAGCAAAAAATGGTCGGCAGCATGAGGCACAATAGCAGAGGCCATGAAGGGGCTAAGGACCCCCGAATGGCTACGGCATAGCAGCGGCGACTAACTGCCTCAAGATTTAGTGCTCGACGTCATTCCCGTGGAGTACGGAGTTCTAAGAAATAACATGCTTTTCCTGGTTTCATACGGACACTTGAGAGCATCTGAAAAAACTGTTGAAGTAGAAACAGAACGAGTTCGCTGAGTAAATTTCGTCCGACCGAGCGATGCCGCCGGGTGATATTCGCTTAACATTTCGTCAACTAAAACTCAACCGGAACAATCATTTAGTGCTACTACAAATATTGTGGGTCAAAATGACCCAATTTTCATGAAAAACTTCTTTCTACAGACTTAGGTAATTTTAAATAAGCTGCTACGTTGTCTGTTCGTTAAAAGCATAATAAGCTATGGTTGTCCAAAAATTAAAAGAGTTTTTTATTTTATTTAATTTTTTTTAGAAGGCAACATAGTATACACCCACAGTGTTTCTGGGTTATTTTGTCCCAAATTATTATTTAGTATTTAAGGGCAACTTGTCAGTTAAGTTTCTGCATGTGATAAAATATTAACTGAATTCAAAATTTGTGTCTTAAAATTTACTAATTTTTATTATTGGGTCAAAATGACCCAAAACATTAAAGGAAGGGGTAAAGTCTAAACACTGCAGAAGGGTTAAAAAATGCTAGTTTGAAAATAAGAAAAGGCTAGAAAAAGCCACGGAGCTAAATCCTAAATTTCGAAGCTAAACGACAAAGAAAAAGGCTAGATCTAGCCTCAAAAAGTCTAAACTGTGCAGTTGGATCATGACTTAAAACAAACTGCAGTCTGGTGCAAAGTGAAAAGTCTGGTTCACATTCTATGACGTTTCTCCGAGTAGCGAATTTTCATTTTTCTTTGAAATTGCGAGAAGAGCAGGTAATTTTGGAAACAATCGCTTTACTTATAATTTTAATAGATAATTGCTATTTATTTTTTAACATTCAGATATCCAACTTGTAGCCAGAGGCAGTGGTATGTGAGGCTCACTAAAATCTACTCATCATGTTGGAGTAATGGACCATTGAATGTGCTGGCTGAATTTATGACCACCATAACCAACAGAGTCTCCAAGCAAATGCAATTACTAATGGGTAATGGTGCTCAAACTTGAGCGTGCTTAATGCACTGTCTTCGCGGATGCGCTGGCAGGCATTGGAGCCTCAGTAACTATACTAACCTTGTTTTTTTTTGAAATATAGACTTAAATATATTCGGAAATTTAGAACTTTACTTAATAAATTCACAAAATAACATAAAATTCTATCCTATACTATCTCCCTTTGATTGCTGAACCCAAACACATGGCGCAGATAGGTTACTGCCAATATTGAAGTATTAAATTCATGGCGGGGGCTATTGTGAATTACCGCAGTGTATTTTGGTATAGTAATATGTAAATTTTGACTTTGTCGTCAATGGTGCATGGTGTCAAGTTAGCACTACATACTAAATTTTGTTCAAAACGGGTCAACTCAATTTTTTCCAGAAAAACGAAAGCTACAAATTTTTTGTTTCCACAACAAATTTTAAAGTTAAAAGCTACAATTAAAGGCATAGTAACATATTGGATATCTCAATTCAATCGACTAGGTGTATGGTGTAAAGTTAGCACTACATACCATTTTTTCTTAAAAAACGAGAGCTAAATTTTTTTTCTTTACACAACAAATTAACAACAATTAATGCCGTTATAACATTTTCAATATCTCAATTCTATCGACTAGGTGCATGGCGTCAAGTTAGCACTACATACTAAATTTCGTTCGAAAAAGGGTCAACTCAATTTTTTCCAGAAAAACGAAAGCTACAAATTTTTTCTTTTCACAACAAATTTTAAAGTTAAAAGCTACAATTAATGGGATAGTAACATATTGGATATCTCGAGAGCTACAAATTTTTTCCTTCCACAAAAAATTTACAACAAAAAAGCTACAATTAATTCCGTTGTAACCTTTTCAATATCTCAATTCTGTCGTCAATGATGCATTATATCAAGTTAGCACAACATACTAAATTTTGTTCAAAAAAGGGTCAACTCAATTTTTTCCAGAAAAACGAAAGCTACAAATTTTTTCTTTTCACAATAAATTATAAAGTTAAAAGCTACAATTAATGGCATAGTAACATATTGGATATATCAATTCAATCGACTAGGTGTATGGTGTCAAGTTAGCAATACATACCATTTTTTCTTAAAAAACAAGAGCTACAAATTTTTCTTTCCACAACAAATTTACAACAATAAAGCTACAATTAATGCCGTTATAACATTTTCAATATCTCAATTCTATCGACTAGGTGTACGGTGTCAAGTTAGCACTACATACCATTTTTTCTTAAAAAATGAGAGCTACAAATATTTTCTTTCCACAACAAAAACACTACGATTAATGCCGTAGTTAACTTTTCCAATTTCGACAAGTGTAGTGCTAACTTGACAAAGGTGAATGGTTCAACTGCTTCAGTAGATTCCTGAGCAGTGTCTATGTGTATTTAATTCTTTGCAAAATGCCACAATACAATCAATACAATACAATACAATAGTGGAATTCGCGAATACAGTACAATAGAGCGAATTCCCCTAATGCAAACATATGTATGTAAGTATGTATACTAGGGGATAACTAAACGAATCGATTCGTTTTGTGTTGTGAGCACTAACTTTATGTTTCGTTTGTTTCCCTATTTCTCTGCATTCAATTGTTTTGTTTGCGTTAGCTATCCCGAACGCTAGCAGAGTAAAGTTACCACTCGCAAAATGTTTCCCAGTGATTTGAATCGGTTGTGTTTCGTTACCTTCTATGAGCGAAGCTAAACGATACCGATACGTTTGCTATTGTTTGTTTTCGTTCTCTGCTTTTTCCATTTCAGTTACGATGTTGTGACGTCTTTTTGTATTTCAGGTGACGATTTGTATGTGTATGGTTTGTGAATGTTGCAAGTGTAATGCAGTTACGCTTGGACCGTGTTCGTAAGTACGCATTTTTATACCCGAGCGCACTTGTGCACAAGGGCATTATAATTTTGTTCACATAACGGTTGTTTGTAAAAGGCAAAACGAATCGAGATAGATATAGACAAATGTATACATAAATGATCAGAATGAAAAGAGAAATCGATTAAGCGGTGACTGTCTGTCCTTCCGTCCGTCCGTCTGTGCACACGATAACTCGAGTAAAAATGGAGATATCTTAACGAAACGTGGTACGTGCACTTCCTTCTGGCGTAGGACGGATGGTATTGAAAATGGGCAAAATCGGAAAATAACCACGCCTACCTCCCATATAACGGTAATTTTCAGAAATACGAAAACTGCGAAATTTTAGTAACTACTGAAGATTATTCACTCAAAATTGATATTTACAATAAGTTTTAGACGAAAAATAAGAACATTATAAATTTTTGGAAAATGGGCGTAGCGTATATCTTGGTAACCGCTGCATCAATTTCTTCCAAACTTGGCACAGTTGTTGGCCTTGATATAACCTACGAAATGGGCGAAAATTTTTAAAATCGAACAATAACCACACCCACATCCATTATAACGGTAATTTAGAGAAATACGAAATCTTTGATAAATCAGTAAATGTTAAAGCTAATTTATTCAAAATTGATGCTTGAAACAATTCTTTACCAAGAAATACGTTTATGATAAAATTTTGGAAAATGGGCGTGGCACCGCCCACTTATGATCATATACATATATATATCTCGGTAACCGCTCTACCAATTTGTACCAAAATCGATGTGGTTATTGTACTTGCCACATAGAAGCAAAACGCAGAAAATTATTGAAATCGGACTAAAATTACGGCCGCTTTTCATATAACGAAAATTTCAGAAATGCTTGAAACTTCAATATTTCGAAATTTAAGGACGCTAATTTACTCAAAATTGATGACCGTGACATACGAACACAACATTTTTATATAAATAAATATACATAGAAGATGTCCAATGTGTGCTATCGATTTTAATCTTTGGCCACAACAAAAATTCCACATTGTACATTCGTGAATGAACTTTCAGTTTCTCGATTACTTTTACAATTCCTTTGAGTAATTGAAAAAACTAAAGTACTCTTGCAATTCCAGGTAATGGAATTGAAAAAAAAAATCAATTTCATTTTCAATTCCTTTCAAAGGAATTGGGAAAAAATTACATTACTAGCACGTAATTTATTCCAATTACAATATGAAATTCCTTGTAATGGAATTAAAGAAAAACCAATTACATTTGAAGTTACTGCAAGGAATTGAAAAGTAATCGATTCCTTTGCTGTGGACTTAAGGAATTGATTCCTTATTACAATTCCTTGTAATCTGTAATTGGGAGTAATTTAATTCCTAAAGGAATCATTACGACCCAGCTCTGGCACTTGGTGAGTGTTTTTTAATTCCTTTCCACTTTGTTTTCCTTCATATAGCCGACCTCGAAAAGCAACTGGTAGTTGGCAATGCTGCACATGTTTAGGCACGGGTTGCAGCATGTCGATATTTCGTTTTTCGTAACGTAGCTACGGATGTTTCGATTGGAGCCCTGATTTCGCAGCAATTAAATAACTTTTAATTTTATTAATTTACTTCATCTAAATTGCAGGCTCACGATACAGACGAACTTCGGTTTGATGTGGTAGTTAATAATTATAACAATTGGTGTTTACGTGCGGAAACTCCAGAAGACCGCATTCATTGGGTCGAGGTATTGCAAATGTATAAGGAGGATACAGCAAGCACAGATACTACGTCCCTACGGCGTCATGGTAGCACCATGTCTTTGCAGTCAAATACAGTGTCGGTGGCCAGCGGAAACAGTCTAAAAAAAACACAAAGAAACTTAAAGGAAAAAGCAGGTGAAATAGAGACATTTAAAGATATACTTTTCGGACAGATCGAAACTCTCCAAAGGTACTTTTAAACATCTTTGAAATTACGTAGTTTTTCTCTTGAACTGTTTTCTGTCCTTAATTATAGATATTTTGATGCTTGTGCCGATATTAACAAGACAACAGGAAAATCCCTTGATCTAGGCGATGGCTTAAAACCAATCGATTTTAAGGTATTTTTATAATTATTCTCTACATTCTTAATATTGCTTCTAAATTATAAATCAGGGAGAATCAATCACTTTTCGTGCCACAACTTCCGGTGTATTAACAACCCTTCAACACTGCGTAGATATAATTGCTGAAAGTGATGATTTGTGGAAAAAGAAGTTGGAGAGGGAAATAGACAGGCGAAAACGAACTGAAGAACAAAATCGGTGTGTCATTATTTTAAAAATTAACGTAATTTTTCGCGTTACGACTCTTTAAATCTTCATATTACAGAAAATACAAGGAGGAGATCGAAAAAATTAAACGTATTTCATATCCAGGACCCGATTTTGAGGTAAGTTAAATTAGCTAATACTAATGTTTTTTGAAAAATAGACACCGTCCATACTCTTCAAATCACGTTTAAAAATAACGAAAAATAAATCTGCACATTTAAAAAAGGTTAAGAATGTTATACACCTGATTTTTTAAAATTAGTTTTTAATACAAATTTCATTTAATTTAAAATTGGAATTTAAAGTAAATATACTTACTACCTCAACGACCCAAAATGTTTTTTGAAAAATAGACACCGTCCATACTCTTCAAATCACGTTTAAAAATAACGAAAAATAAATCTGCACATTTAAAAAAAGCTTAAGAATGTTATACACCTGATTTTTTAAAATTATTTTTAATACAAATTTCATTTAATTTAACTAATTTTTTAAGACAAATTTAACTTAATTTGCGTAATGTATTGTATTCCTCACTTTATTTTCTGTAAATAAATTCGCTTATCTGGATATCACTTTGGTTTAAATATCGCGTATATGTTTGTATAAAATAAAAATAAAAAAACTACAATAGCGCGTATCATGATTCAGTAATACAAGGTTGGATGATTATTGACAGCCGCGGTTTTACACTCCCTTACAAAAGGTTGCATTTCCGAAGGATAGAGAAAGAGGAAGAATACAATCCCTTGTTGCGAAAATCAGAGTAGAAATGTACGCAAAGTAAGCAATTATTAGTGAGATTCCTTTTGTAAATTCTAATGTATTTGCAGGAAATCTGGCATTTTAAACGAAATATTGAACGAAATATTAATATATCTACCTGAATTACGAAATTATGTGCTATTTAGCTGTACAAAAATTTCAAAAGGACTCAAAGTTAAAATAAAACTACTATGTAAACATCCAATTTAATAACAATTTATGTTTTCATATGTTAAATGTGCTTCATATGCATATACAAATAAACATATTGCACAAAAGCTTATACTTCTATTTCACAGCAAAGCTACACTTTTTCCAAGTAAATTTGCGAAGAAGCAACACGGTGTCACTGCTAAGGGAGCTGTGCGAGAGAGACAACTGTCAGTTTATCGAACTTTGTATTATTGAATCAAAAGCGCGTATGCATATTTAAAAAAATATCCTTTTAGTGAATTTCATTTGTATGTAGTATATTGTGAGTCCAACATATAATAAACTACTAGTTCAGTAAAAAAGGTGCCCGAGTTTTGGTAAAAATCACTTTTTTCTTACTCCTATGAAATTTGGATAGCATCATATACGCGGTATTGCAGTTTGCATATACGCGGTATTGCACGCCAAGCGACGATATACCGCAAATTCAATGCTCTCTAGTGAGAGCAGTGGCCAGCAGGCGCGTGTGCAGCTGAGCGAAATATCCGCAGTATCATCAACCGCACGCAGACGTTCGTGATACAATCCGCCAGTCTAGGACACTAGTAAACTGGTAAACGAACATAAGCGCAAAACATGGAATGAACACCTGCAATCTCACCAGCGGTGCTAGCAAACTGTGGACCACAGTTAAATCTCTCGCTCCCGTCCGACGAAACGTAAGGACAACGTTGCCCTTACATTTGGCAACACCACAACCTCGGATCTGCAGACGTGCGCCCGCTTCTTCAGCCGGAATGAACTTCCACACCCAGATAAAGAAAAAATCTCGCTTCAGTTTCCTAGGTAAAGCGCCCCGCATTTCGGTTTATCCATCTACCTGGCAATCTCAACTAACGGTAGGACCAAGAAACGGCCAGCTTTAACAGGGTCGGACCAATGGGGGAGGGGTGATAGTTGAGTGGGATTGAGCAGGCATGTGAAGAGGTGGTTGGTTTCGTGCGCGGAGTCTCCACATGCCGGACGTTCATTGGGGATATTGGGGTCGAGTCTGGACAGGTAGCTGTTGAAGAGGCTACAGTATCCACACCGTAACTGGGCCAGGGTAACGCGGGTGTCAGCAGTTGAAGCACCACGTCTGACACAGGTGGTGATTGGGCTCCGAAAACGGTATTCATAGGCCGGGTGATGTTGTTGTCGTTGTAGCGGCTTACAACAACCCCGCCCAGATTGGTTAGTATCTCAGTCGTTGTCGTCAAGCTCAACTAACGAAAGACCCAAGGACCGTGCAGCCTCTATAGGGTCTGTCCTTAGAGACAGAGGCGTTAGTCGTGTGCGGTTATCCGGGCATACGAAGATACGTTTCGAGTCGTGGGGTGTCTCTCCGCATGCCGGACACTCATTTGGCACACCTGCATCTAATATGCTTAGGGCTGAGTTTAACCTGCTGCAGTAGGTAGAGCGAAGTTGGGCTATTGCGGTTTTAGTCTCCCGAGGCGGACGAAGCTCCGTCATCGATCGTTTACGATGTTTGACAATTTGTTAGGTTGTAGTCACATTAAATGGAAAATTTTAAACTTTTCAATTACAACTCTGTAATTCAATTAGAAAAATACTTACATATGGATGTATTTCCCTATATTTATTCATCATTCTTCTACTCTTCCTATAAATAGAATAAAAATGCATACCGTAGTAAGTTCGCTGAGACTAAAGTTCCAAGGCCCAACTTCGTTGAAATTTTAACGGGAACCTGGCTCTTTTCTAATGATTAAGTAAGCATTTTTAATATCGAAAGATACGAGTAAACTCGGAATTTCTGAATGTTCCCCAAAAAAATAAGTAATAAAAATTCATGGCCAGTCAAAAAATTTTAGGAGCATAATGGGTAAGTTGAATTCAAGTCCAAGTCACACTAAAGTCGATGTTAAAACATCGTTGAAACTGGCATCGATGTACCGTTTTTCGAAAATATCGTCTTACACAGGTGGTGATTGGGCTCCGAAAACGGTATTCATAGGCCGGGAGATGTTATTGATTTTGTAGTGGCTTACAACAACCCCGCCCAGATTGGTTAGTTGGGCTATTGCGGTTCAAGTCTCCCGAGGCAGGCGAAGCTCCATCTCGTCGATGTCAGGTGGTTGTGAGCCTAGAACGGCATTCACGGGTCTTTAGTCTATATATTTCGAGACTGACTCCATGTAAATGCCGCTCAGGGTCTGTCGGTAGGCTGACGGGTCCAGAGGTTACTTTATGAAGCTCTGGACTTCGTCCGTCAGTTCATATAGATGCCTTCTGACGTGCCTTGGCGAGGGCTCCTCTGAGAGAAAGTGCCTGTTCCGGTGTCCTCATCCACTGCGTCCTAGTATTCGCCGGCGACCACACTGGTGCTACGTAATTTAAAACCGGCCGGCCAACTGCCTTGTTGAAAGGACACCACCCTGTGGAACCCCCTGTTTTATTTTTCTAGGTTTACTCGATTTGTCTCTAAACATTACTGACGAGTGTCGGCCACTCAGATAATTCGCCGATTACCGTTTGAGTCTCTGTGGGAGAGATGAGGCCTCTATGTCTTCTAGCAGCGTGGAGTGGTTGACGGTATCAAACGCCTTTGACAGGTTCAATGGTACTAGAATGGTTCTTATCACAGGGACGGTTGCGGTTTAGGCCACGTGTTATCTGAGTGTTTATGGCGTTAAGTGCTGTTGATGTGCTCTGCACTTTACGCAAACCATGCTGCCATAACCGAGCCACATAACCGTCGGGACGCCGGCGAAGCCAACTGCCATGCTGAGCGGACGTGTATTTTATTTGCTCTGCGTGTTGCTTGATTTCTTAGTGTTTTGTGTTCATTTCGCATTTTAAATTATTGAGATAGTGACTTTTATTGATTTTCAATCATACGGTGCGATAATGCCGTGTGTTTGTGGACAGAAAGTAGAGCGGTCCGAGAAAAAAATTCAGTGCGCTAAGTGTAATGAATGTTCTCATTTGGGATGTGAAAACATTTCGCCATCAAATGCTGAATTTTTGCATAGTTCGGGCAAACCCTATCTATGTAATGTGTGTGCATCCGCTCGGCGATATTCTCTTCGTACGCCCCCGCCCGCTGTCGTGCCCGATGAGGATGAGTCAATTATTATAGAAGGCGAAACCTTGCTAAATATCAACCAATCGGAGCTACATAAAACTCTGCAGCTGAAAGAGGCCAAATCTATTTTTGTATCCCAACAAAGTAGAATGGAAAGTGTGCGTAAAGAAACCGCTAACGATTATAAGCAGCAAACAATGCTGCAGAGTCTGTGGCAAAAAGATAAAATGCATCTTATAAAAATATCAGAATTCCTACAAGCAGAAGTACGACAGTTGAAGTATAAGCTCTGATATGACGAGATGGTCTCTGCAGTTTTAACACTTAGTGCTGAAGTCAAATGCCTATGTGAGAATTCGTGTCATCCACCAAATAGCAACAAAGCCACCAGTGCAAAATCTCAGCCCAAAGCTAACAAACAGACAGAGCTACCTTCCCATCGCCTCGTTAAATCAGCTGTTTCGACTGGTAATATCACAACTAAGTCAACGTCGACTGCGCCGTCCAACTCTCTCGCTACGCCTGGTGTTTCTTTTGTGCTTTCTGATGCTATCTCCGATTCATCGACAATGTATACTTCATCCACTACTTCTGCTTCTCTCACCTATGCTGCTATTGCTTCTGCTTCTGCTGGGTGTTCTACTGGTATTGCTACTGCTTGTGCTGACGCGGGTTCGTTTGTTTTCGATAACAACAATGCTAATATAGCGTCTCGGCAAACGACTTGTGCCAGTGCTGCTAACGAAGTAAACAATACTCCGCGCGCCCGTCAAAATTTGGAGGGTACCACTGTCGCGGACAAGAAAACATAAAGAAAACATATTTGTGTTGTTGGTTCAAAGGTAAACTCTGAACTCGATGTCATTGCCGGTGCTAGGTGGCTGCACATTTATTCGTTTTCGCCTGCTGTTACATCTGATAACATTATAGATTACGTGGCTAGGCATTCGGGTATTGGGAAGCAATTATTAACGTGCTACAGTCTTGTGAAGAAAGATACTCCTCCTAAGTCTTTAAGGCGCATAAATTTTAAATTAGGAGTTCCTGAGTCATGGTACGAAAAAATGCTTAGCGCTGAGCTTTGGCCAGCTAAGGTAACAGTCCGTCCTT